AAAACCAACGCCTTTTTAAACTCCTTTTCCGATGTTTCCGGTAAAAACGTCGGTGGCGACTCCACGAACCCTTCAAAACTAGTTCTTGGGTTAGCCCGGTTATCGGACAACCCAAGAACCCTTTTCGAAAACCTCGTCTCTAGGTTAGCCCGGTTATCGGACAACCTAAGGACGTTGTAACCACCCATAAAAAAACGCGAAAACAAGAGGGTCGAAAAACCATCGCGTCGCTCCGACCGCCCCTCGTTTTGGGAGGCGGCGACAATAAGAAATATGAAAAGGATTTGTGGGGGATTTACATTCAGCACATATAGCACCAGAAAGAGAAATCCAACAAGAACATAATCAAAACATCAAAACACAAATTAAAGATGAACAAACACCAGAACACAAATTAAAATACAAAGATAAAAGCAAACCAAAACACAAACAAAAACATGAACAAACACGCAAACACAAACACAAACAAAAATAAAACACACGCAAACATAAAGACAAACAATCACTCAAACAAAAAAACAAACAAAATGATAAAAAAAACACATACGCATACACACACAAATACAACCAAAAACATAAAGCCAAACACAAAAACAAGAAAACAAAAAAATACAAACACAAACAAAAAGACAACACACGTAAACACAAACATAAACACAAACACGCACACAGTCATAAACACAAACAAAAACACGAAGAGAAGCACACACAAACAAGCAAACAAAAACAGAAACACAAATACAAACACAAACAAAAACACACAAACACAAACACCCAAACACAAACACAAATAAAAGAAAAAAAAACCACAAACACACAAAAACACAAACACAAACACAAGCACAAACACAAACAAAAACACAAACTCAAACACAAAAATAAACATAAACACAAACACAATAGGATGATAGTGGAACTGTAAACACATTAATAAGTATTGGTGGAATTAGATCATACCTACAATAGGATGTACACTTGCACCTGCATAAGAAATACGAAAAGGATAAGTGACAAACTTACCTTTAGCACATATAGCACACACATGTTTGCATCATGAGTGCTGCCAGAAAGAGAACTCAAGAAGAAACATAGTCAAAACATCTAAAGAAATGGAGAAGAAATAAATCTAAAACAGAAAGACAAATTAAAATACATACACAAACACACAAAAAAAACAAAGAAAAGAACACGAACACAAACATGCAAACAAAAAAAAAACACAAACACAAACACAAACAGAAACATAATCAAAACATCTAAAGAAATGGAGAAGAAATAGATCTGAAATAGAAAGACAAATTAAAATACAAACACAAACACAAAAACATAAACAAACACAAAAATAAACAAAATGAAACACAAACACAAACATAGACACGAACACAATAGGATGACAATGAAAGTCTAAACACATTAATAACTATTGATGGAATAAGGTCATACCTACAATAGGATGTACACTTGTATCTTCATAATAAATATGAAAAGGATGTGTGAAAGACTTACCTTCAGCACATATAGCACACACATGTTTACATCACGAGTGCTTCCAGAAAGAGAACTCAGACAGAAATATAATCGAAACATTAAAAGTAACGGAGATGAAATAGATCAGAAACATAAATTAAAATGAAAACACAAATTTAAATACGAAAACAAACAAAAACGCAAACAATTTCTCAAAGAAAAAAAAAACACAAACACAAATACAAGTACAAAGACAAACATAAACCCAAACCCAAATCCAAAGTTAGACCCAAATCCAAACTTAAAACCAAACCAAAACCCAAACCCAAATAGAAACACAAACACAAATACAAATAAAAACACAAACACAAACACACACATACAAAAAAACAAACATAACCACAAACACCAACTCAAACACAATCACAAACACAATAGGATGACAATGGAAGTGTAAACTCATTAATAACTATTGGTGGATTAGGATCATACCTGCAATAGGATGTACACTTGCACGTGCATAAGAAAAATGAAAACGATGTGTGGCAAACTTAGCTTCAGCACATATAGCACACACATGTCTGCATCACGAGTGCTGCTAGAAATAAAATACAAACAGAAACGTAATCGAAACATCAAAAGTAATAGAGAAGAAATAGATATAAAACATAAACACAAATTAAAATATAAACACAAACATAAACACGTAAAAACAAACGTAAAAACAAACACAAACATAAATACAAAACCAAATACAAACGCAAACACGAAGACAAACACAATAGGATGACAATGGAAGTGTAAACACATTATTAACTATTGGTTCAATAGGATCATATCTACAATAGGATGTACACTTGCACCTGCATAAGAAATATGAAAATGATGTATGGCAGACTTAGCTTCAACACATATAGCAGACACATGTTTGCGTCACAAGTGTTGCCTTAAATAGAACAGAGACAAAATCATAATCGAAACATCAAAATAATTGAAGAAGAAACAGAATAGAAACATAAACACATAACTGGAAATTTTAGCAATGCAAAATTTAAACTAGACGAGAAACTTAGGGTGAAAGTCCAACCAAGTGACACTTAGAGCCTCTTGGGATACTTTCACGAAACTAAAACGCTTATTATTACAATTTTTTTTGGGAGATGGGATTGTACCGAAGACATTTTCCCAAGACACCCAAACAAAATTAAAGAATAAAATTTATAACAAAATACAACAAAAGAAATTTATTCAGCAACTATGCTTGTCTCATAGAATGATAAATTCATCATATTGTTGGATGAGTGGGTCATAGAAAGCATTTGCATAATGATACTCCATATCAAGTGCAGGTAGGTCTCTGAAAGTGATGTCATTACTATTAAAATCCATATTAGCACAATCCAAATGAAGCAAAATGTTATGGAAAACACAAAAATTACAAGAAAGCAACACAAAAATTTTTGAGAATTTTTGGAGAAGTAAAACTATATAAACTAAATTGGTAAAATATTAGAAAATAGGTAAAAAAATAGTAAAAAAATGAAAAAAAAGTTATAGAAAATGATGAAATTTATGAAATATTTTGACCCCAATCCCCTTTAGGATTGGCCATCGGATGAGCACGAAAAATTTAGAAACTCTCTTTTTTGAATCAACTCATTCTAAGTTCTGTAGCAAAAGTTATCACCATTTGAAGTTTTTTTTAACCAAATTTTTGTATCTTATAAAACAGAACTATAACATGAAAAAAAATTAATATACTATTTATTAAATGTTAAAAGAAGCGAAACGTATGGCAACTGAAAAGAAAAGAAAGACAACATCACCTTCCTGCAGATGGTGTTAGTGAAAGCCCTTATTCTTTGCTTGCTCCATAATACGAGTGTCATGCAGAGTTGTACCCCTTTAATACGATGAGAAGAGGGGCCACCCTAATTTCTACACCAATCTTTATTTACTACTATATTACTATCTATATATTTTTAGGTTATTAACGATCCATTTTTTCCAAACATCCATGTAATAACCATTTTTATATTTTTATATTATTATTTATCTATAGTTCTTTCTCTTTCTATCAATCAACAAAAAAAGTAATATTTTAGGATTATTTATAGGATATTTGAAAAAATTGGAGTCTCAAAAAATATTTTCTCATGTTTTTTTCGAGTGTATAGCTCAATTAGTAGAGCATTGGGCATTTAACCTAATAGTCGCAGGTTGAGGTCCTGCTATATCCAAACAAACATGCCTTACACTATACCTATTTATTTTTATTTTAATTAATAATGATGCGTAATAACGTTCAAAGATAACTCTTTGACCTTTAGACTCCCTTTAGCAACTTCGCCCTTTTAGTGAGAAGGGTAAGGATTAGTATAAGAGTAATTCGATCTTCCATAGTCCTCTCCTTATTTCCGATGAAAAGAGGTAAGTACTAAGAAGACAACTATTTCGTGTTGAATATGCTTTCGTCGGTGATATAGAGGGAGTAACAATATCATATGGTTTTTATGCAATACAATAGTAGAATCAGAAAAAATCCCTTATAGTAGTTTAGTATAGGACCAACCTAGGTCCTTTACTAGTGCTATCCAATATCTCCAACCTGTTAGAGTACCTCGGGCAATAGAAAAATTTAGGAATTAATATTTCCATTAACATTAAGGCTTGAAGATCTAGGCCCCTCCAATAGCATAAAAAAGGTAAACCTTTGGAGTGTTAGTGTCAATTCCCAACCATCTAGTTCTAATGGAAGTTATAGTTGCAAAGCCAGTTTAAGAAAGTTCATTTTCAAGATGGTAAGGGCATGGTACGTGTGAGTGCAATCAAATATTTCCCTACAGTTGCATTGACCCTTATTTTTTTCGGGCTTCCATATGAGCCAATTTTCAAGACATTATACAGCAGTGGTAAGGTACACCTATGTCATTTCCTTTTTTTTTTTTTTTTAAGATCTATGACTTAATATAAAATAGGATAAAAATGTCAAGTGATTCAACTCAAACACGAACCGCTACCTCCTCTTCTCTGACTTCAACAAAAAGAAAGTCAAACAACTCATTATCTCATGTCAACAACGCATTCGTTCACCCAAACAGCGCATTTGTAAGCTCCAAATCCAAGAGTCTATCCGGTACCAGAAGTGAAGGGTGAATGTTAAATTCTCTTATTTATTTTAACGAGAGTCGAAAAGTAGTAAGCAAGTGACTATGGGAAAGTCAGGGTATAAGAATCACTTATTGGAATGGTACCAAAGGGAAAAGTCCCATCCATTTTAGAAGTCGCAAAGAAATGGAAGGCTTAAATACCAAAAACAAGATGGTCAGTAACTTCGATCTTGTTTTTGTCCTTTTCGGGTTCTAGTCCAATCTTCTGCTGCAACCTTTGCCTTTGTCTCTACTTCTGGGTCTCAATCTCGAACTCAAACTGATGCCTAGCTATTTTTCTAGATGCTGAGAAGCGGGACATGATGGCCGTGAACCGTTGAAAGATCAGATGATCTATCTTCCTTTGACTTCCCCTTAATTAAGGAGTATAGTAAGGCCCCCAACAGGGTCAATGACATGCAGCCGAGTAGGCACCGGTCAGAACTCAGCACCAAGCAGAGCACTCGCCGCCGACCGATTGCTTGAATCTATTCCCACGTTCGCATGCTAGCTGGATTAGAGGTGGGTTTGTTAACGTATTGCTATTGGCTTTGTAGATAAGATGACTTGTCTTTGCGTCAGGATGCTTTGGAATAAGCTAAGCTCTTCCAGTGGCCTATCTACTGCGCCGATCTTTTTTTTTTTTTTTCTCAGCCTGACAGGGAATTAGTGCTCTGCGATTGCATGACCTTTCCTCGCCAGCCAAAAAAGAAAAACAATCCAACGCCTAGAGTTGAATTTTAGGGAGCCTAATTCTTTCTTTTTACCCATATACAGAAAGAGAGGAGTAACGCCGGGACAGGTCACGACTACGTGTTTGACTCCTGCCAAAGAGTTCTTTTGTCCAACTACTACTCTAACTCTATAGAAAAGACAGTTAGGCCTCTTCCTTAAGCTCAGGGAGGGCAGGTTCTATTAAGAATAAGAAAAATATTCCACCCAGAAAACGAATGCCAACGGTTTCTAAAGCTCAAGAAGTTGCTTCTTGGCTGGGAAGCTAAGCAAGAACACGCCAGTGGGTTTATGTTTGCTCTTTTAGCGAAATAAGAGCAGTTGGGTTGGTATACGATTATAATATAGGTCAGAAAGAATCAAATGTATTCAAACTATATTCCACGAGCGCGATTTCGCCTGAAGTCTACTGCTTCTTGATTATAAAGAAGATAGTAAATATGTCCTTAATGCGATGGGGATGAATTCTTAAATAAATATGAATCGCTACTGGATTCCTTTATCAATCATATAAAAAGAGGTGGGGTTGCACCGAGATGTACCTTAGTTGACTTGTTTGAGTCCAATAAACCATCATAACAATTGTAGTGCTGCCATCCCCGTGTTCGCCAGCGCATTCCATGCAATCGAATCGCATCACAATAATCGTTTCCACAGCGATCGACCGAAGTCGCCACCTTCCTCGTCATTGGTGGTGGACAGTGACAGTGAGTGAAAACAGATCAAAACATTTTAAAAGAGAACAACGTAATAAAAACGGAGCTGAATAAGAGAAATACCGTAATCAAAACATTCAAACTGAAATGGAGCAATGGGAGATGGAGCAGTGTATCTTGTTGCAGTGACCACTCACGCTTTCAAAAATTCTTAAATTATAAAGGTCTCGTTACACGTAATTTTTATATTTTATAATTTTGTCATATTTATATTTTGGTGAAAGGTATAAAGGATTGTAATATTAAAAACATGTGTTATATTATTATTTAAAGAGAAAAGTCATCAATGGTAAGTTACTTACTTTTTTTTTTTTTTTTGTTTACAAAATTTGTTTCTTTTTCTGATGACATTTTACTAAGAAATGAGTTAAAAATATATATATCTTGAAAGGAACAACAATACCAAACATATGAATATGAAGTCCATGTTTTTCAACCTCATCGTTATGTTAAATAAATCGATGGTTATATATATGTTGAACCTATCAATTATACTTTGAGCAATATTTAAGTTCATTTTGAATATAGTTTAATGATATATTTATAGTTTATTCTTAATTATTCACTGTTTCTGATATATTGCTTTGGGTTTTTTTATTCTTAATTCTAAAAGTTGATATAATTATTTACATAATAGCTTTAATTTATAAATACTTATTTTTATTAATTTCTTTATAACAAGTGTATAGTTTTTAACAAATTACTATTGAAAAGTTATATTTTGTGGTATTTGTAGTACCACGTCACTAAAAATAATACAATAAGATTTTGTTCTAATAATAAAAAAAATTACAATTTTTAAAAATATATATATTGAAATAATGATTAAGAAATCCACGTTTAAATATAACTCACTTAATCGTTCATTAAGTTTCAATTGAACATATATAAAACTAATTATGTCTTACAAATAGATAAAATAAAGTTTTACTGTAATCACATAACATAATTTCAGCATGGTATCCACGTATCAAATCATATTCATACAAATCAAGTATAAAGATTTATAAATATCACACATATTCAAGCAAAAGAGATATACTTTAAAGCTTATTTTTATTTTTGCTAATTAGAAATCTTTATTCTTATTCAAATTTTAAAATACATATAACTTTCAATTAAAAATTGAAAAGTTAAATTTATTTTTCATTAAAATTACCTTAATTAAAATTTCTAAATTTATTTGTTTAATTGAAAACTCTAAAATTAAAAATAAAGGTGTTATACGTACTGTCGAGGGTAAAAAATTGATTGTCATTATATAAAAAAAATTATATATATATATATATAATAGGTTTTTATTTATATTTTAAAACAATAATGGGCGAGCTAATAATGATAATTATTTTGTTTTATTTATTTATTTATGTTCCCTTTTAATAATTCAAAATTTATCAAAAACAGTAGGGTCAAAGAATAGAATAAGATAGTGCCCTCTATTTAATATTATTCATTATTATAATATTTTTTATTATTAACGTTATTTAAAATTTTATATTTTTTTTTTCAATTTATTAAATTAGAGATCATCATATTAATAGTATTGTGACTTTTGTTAACCTGAGAAATATTTAATAACCATTTTTTATTTAATTATAATAATAGTAATAATAATTATTATTACTATTATATTTTTTTCAATGACAATTTTGTTATTTATATAAAGTTATCATTAGTGTTTAATTAAGTGATTGGCGTGGAATATTGTATTAGAATTGTATCATATAAAAAAGTCACTTTTTTTACTTTTTTTTATTCTTTTTGTTTTTCTTATTCGTACTAAAATTTAAGTAAAATGTGTGTTAGCAAGTTTTACAGGTCGACCATTTTGATGACAAGTTTATTACATGTTAATAACATCAATAGATTTTATAGAAGATCTTCTTGTTTAATGCATCAATAATCATGTGTTTAATTCCTTTGTGACTGGTATTAGTCTTTTGATTTAAAAAATCAATCTAGAGTAAAAAAAATTTTCACAAGCTAATTTGTCTCCTTTTATTAAACTATGTTTTCCATGATTCTTATTAGACATATTATATATATTATTTTTAAATTAAATAATACATTTACGTACAAATTTAGTGCCTAAGACAATTGAACATAGTCAATTGTACCAAAGTTTAGAGGGTGTACGTTTATCGGATGTAATATAATAAAATATAAAAAATATAAAATATAAGATAAAAACAAAATAAATTATATTTATATTTAGTATTTGAAATACATAAAATAAAAACAAAATAATAGAGTATAATATATATATATATATATATATATATATATATATATATATATATATATAATGTTTATATTTTAAATTTTCATTAAAGTTACATACAATTTTTAAAAGTTGATTTCTAATTTAGAATTTTATATGAAAATTATAAAAGAAAATATAATTTTAACCAAATTATAGAATAAATATTATATTTTTTATGTTAAATTTTTATAATATTTTAAATTGTAATTAGTATATAATTAAATAATTATTATTAAGTTTAATATTATGATAAATAACATAATTTATATTTTTTTGTCATTATATTTATAGATATGAATACATATAGTATAACTAAATACAAATACATGATATATATTATCAAATAACTTATTCATACCGACAAAATTATATAAAATTTTATTTTATTTATACAATTACTTTTTATTACCTTTATAGATAAATTATGTATAGGTTTTCAAAACTATTACTATGATTCAAATATTTTTTTTAAATATTATAAAAGATAACAAAATAACTTTTATATTTTAATTATCATTGTAATTTAAGTTGTATAAATATTATATACCTATAAACTTAACTAACTTTTCATTGAAAGGCAATAATGGCAAGATATAATAAGTAATAAAAGAATAATATATTGACATGACATATCTTTTTCACTAAATAAACTCATTTAATTTTTATGTCTTATAAATAATTTTATAATAACTTAATAAAAAAAATTAAACGATAAATTTTAGTAAACTATTTTAAGCATTTCATATGTTTTTTCTAATTGAAATTAACTTCTACTTAAAGTTAATTTTTATTGATGAGAAGATAAAAATGTAGTTTTAATAAAAAAAGTTTTATAAAAATACTTAAAAATTGACTATAATCAAATTTAATAAGATAATAAATCTATTGGAACCAATATTGAATATTAACTTATATTTATGAATATGGTAAAGATTTATGACTCTACATTAAAGAAAAAATATCCAAGGAATATTTAAAGAAGAATTTACAAACAGTATTTTTAAGAGTTAACAATCCATAATAATGATGATTATTTCAAATGTTTTGGAGTTAATTAATATTTAACTTTACTACTCATAACACTAATGACATGAAGTTGAAGTGAAATAGACAATGTTCATTTAATAATAATTTATTATAATTTTTAACATGTTTAAACAAATTCATTTAAATAATTTAAAATAAAAAAATATAATGTAATTTTGTTTTTATTTTTAATAAAAAGATAAAGGTAATAAAAAATAATTTTAATTACAAAATTATTTTTTTAATCGAATACATCATTTCTATTTACATAAAATAGTTATTTTCAAAAACTATTTTTTAGTCGTTATTATCTCAATGCAATATACTATTAATTATACAATACACTTTTGTAATGACATATTTGACACTATTTGAGGTGACAAAATCTCTCACGTAAAACACTTATATTTACATGTCTCTTACCAAAATTCCTCTCATGAAAACACTCTTTTCTCAAAAAAATTTCAATAAAATACGTTTATAATAACAAGTTAAGATAAAAATGTCACTTTATAGTACATTTCTAGGTAACAATTATATGTTTTGTAAAGAAAGTGTGTTGAAAACCGTGAGAAGATAAAACATGAAAAAAAAAAGATTTTTTTTATAAGACATCGATAGAATATAATTTTATAAGAATAATAAAATAATTCAAAAAACCAAAAATAAATTTTTTAAAAATTATTTAAAACAAAAATTAAATTTCTATAATTTTAAATAATTAAGTTAATATATTAATAAAATTAGTAGCTTTAATTAAAATAAGAAAAATTATTATTAAGAATTACATAAATGCACTTAATTGTAAATATATTAAAAATGAAAAAAATTATTTATAAAATATAAAAATTATAGAAAAGTAATATAGAAAAACTTGTTTATATATAATATAATAATTGACCTGACCAATTCAGTTTAATTTTTTAATATTATTTCAAATTTTGAATTATTCCTATTACTCATGTTAATTTAAAATTATATTTATTAACCATTCTAATAGAATTTATCCAACATCTAAGTATTTTTAACTTCAAAACCTTCTTTACTAACTATGTTTGGAATTTAAATTTCAACTCTATTATACCCATATATTCAACTTCCTATTTTTGATTTTTCTATAACAAAGTATAATAATATTTTTGTAAGATTACTTTTATTAAAATATGTTTGACACCTCATTAGATCATGAAAATGTCAATAACTTTATTTTTCTTTACATTTTTATTCTGAATTCTTTCAAAATAAGGTATATAAATTCAATTTCTAAAACTATATATATTCATAAACAAAACTATTTATAAAAAAACTTTTTTAACAATCTACTAATCCTTATAACTAAAATTTATAACACTATAAATTTTAATATTAACTCAAATAATAAGTATTTACTCATATTTTAAGATATCTCCTTGTATTGATGGTTATTAATATAAGCTTTCCTGTTCTATTTTGTAAGTATCTTCATAAAATATCTATTGATCCGTGTTTCGTTATATAATATTATAATAAAACTTTATATTTTTTCTAAATTTTTCTTAGAAAATACAACTTGATATTAAGGTATCTTTTTGAAAAAAAATATTAGAAATTCGATTATTGTTTAATTATCTTAAACATTTTAATGATTGTTGTCTGAACTATTTGTAAATTAATTAGAATTTTTGTCGGGAATAAGACTTGATTAGTATCTACTAGAACATTTATGAACTTTACTTTTGTAGTCGATTGTGCCATAATATCTTATTTTTAAAGCTCATGCAAATACTCTAGTGCCAAATATAAAACAATAACTAGAAGTTTTTCATATCATCACATAAACCTGCTCAATCACTTAAAAAAATCACAATTTAAATTATTAATTATATTTAAAGAAACTCCATAATCAAGCGTACCTTTGACATATCTTAACACATGTCTATACTCTTGAAAATGCACTCTACTTTCATAATGTACGAATCTTGAAAGAATGTTCACAACTTACAAAATATCAGGTATTCTTGTTGTATGATATATTAAGTGTTGGGAATATTATTTTATTATCTTTTATTTAAATTAGATGTTAAAATATTTTTATTATCTTTTAAGAGAGAAGATAAAAAAATATTAGGTTATTATTTTGATTTAGACAGTTATGATTAATATATTACTATGATTTCATACTTTGTCATGTTTTTACTCTATACATAGATAAAGTACATGAATAAAATATATACCCATATGAGTTATATTTTCACATATCATAAATACACATACACAAAACCCTAAAATTCCTATCATTAAGCCACTATATTTATTTCTAAAATCGGTCTCATTAACTTTTTTTACACCATTTTTTTTGTAAAGTTTCACCATTTGAAACATTGGAGTACTTATAGATTTAAAGTTCTCTATTATTTCTTTTGCATATTTATTTTGGCTAATAAAAAAATTCATTTCATCTCTTGCATATTTATAAAACAGTTATTTTCTATCTTTAACTTCTCATCCATCCTTAACTTCTTCTCCTTCGATAATTTCTTCTTCACCCTTAACTTCGACTCATTCCTTAACTTTTTCTCCTTCTTTAACATTTTCTCCTTCCTAACTTCTTCTTCTTCTTACTTAACTTCTTCTCTTATCTCAACTTATTCTCCTTACTTAACTTCTTTTTCATCCTTAACTTCTTCTCCAACCTTAACTTCTTTTCCAACCTTAACTTTTTCTTCATCCTCAACTTCTTCTTCTTTCTTAACTTTTTTTTTTCATCCTTAACTTCTTCTTTATCCTTATCTTCTTCTCCATCTTTAACTTCTTATCTTTCCTTAAAATTTTCTCCATCCTTAAATTTTTCTCCATGCTTAACTTCATCTCCTTCCTTAAAGTCTTTTTCATCCTTAACGTCGTCTCCATCTTTATCTTCTTCTCCATCCTTAACTTTTTCTCCTTCCCTCACTTCATCTCCTACTTAACTTCTTCTCTTTCCTTAACCTCTTTTTCATCCTCAACTTGTTCTCCATCCTTAAGTTTTTCTTCTTCCTCGACTTATGCTTCATCCTCAACTTCTTATCCTACCTTAACTTTTCCTCCATCCTTAGTTTTTTCTCCTTCCTTAAATTTTTCTCCTTCCTTAAATTTTTCTCCTTCCTTAACTTCTTCTCCATCCTTAACTTCTTCTCCATCCTTAACTTCTTCTCTATTAGGTACTAGAGGGGAAAAGAAATCTTCACTAGAAGCACACACACGAGAGAAATAAAGATAGAAAATCAAACACTGAAATTAACGTGATTCAACACTTCTTGCCTACATTCACTAACACACTCAATACCTCTTCATTTTTCAACTTACAATTTTTACAAGGACAAAATTACAATTTATACAATTTTTGCATGGAAAAATTTTAAACCCTCTCTTTTCATCCTCAACTTGTTCTCCATCCTTAAGTTTTTCTTCTTCCTCGACTTATGCTTCATCCTCAACTTCTTCTCCTACCTTAACTTTTCCTCCATCCTTAGTTTTTTCTCCTTCCTTAAATATTTCTCCTTCCTTAACTTCTTCTCCTTCCTTAACTTCTTCTCCGTCCTCTTCTTCTCCATCCTTAACTTCTTCTCTATTAGGTGCTAGAGGGGAAAAGAAATCTTCACCTGTAGAAGCACACACATGAGAGAAATAAAGATAGAAAATCAAACACAGAAATTAACGTGATTCAACACTTCTTGCCTACATTCACTAACACACTCTATACCTCTTCATTTCTCAACTTGCAATTTTTACAAGGACAAAATTACAATTCATTCAATTTTTGCATGGAAAAATTGTAAACCCTCTCTTGACACACAACTACCCAAGTCCCCAATACACCCAAAGACTAGTATTTTTGTGGTGAGTAGACCGAGTAGACCCAAACTATCATCCCTTATCTATAGTAGAGTCTACCCCTCCCCTTCTTCAAACTACCCGATGTGGGACTTTGGAAGATACCCACGCACTTTGGGCACAACATTATCCTATCATAACTTTTTTCCTTCCTTAACTTCTTCTTTATTCTTTACTTTTTCTCCTTTCTTAACATTTTATTCATCGTTAACTTCTTCTTCATCATTATCTACTTCTCCATCATTAACTTATTCTTCATCCTTAATCTCTTCTCTATCCTTAACTTTTTTTTCCGTCCTTAACTTATTCTCTTTCTTTCTTTTGCTTCTTCTCCTTTCTTAACATTTTCTTTAGCTTTATAGTCTTTTCCATCCTTAACTTCTTCTCCTTTCTTAACGTCTTCTTTAGCCTTATCTTCTTCTCCATCCTTTACTTTTTTTCCATTCTTAACTTCTTGTCTATCCTTAACTTCTTTTCTTTTCTTAACTTCTTCTTCATCCTTAACTTCTTCTTTATCTTTAACTTCTTATCCATACTTAACATCGTCTTCATCTTTAACTTCTTCCCCATATTTATCATCTTCTTGTTCCTTAACTTTCCTTCCATCCTTAACTTATTATTTTAAAGAAATCTAGGAAAAAGGTGAAGTTATATTATAATATTGTAAGAGAAACACAAACTAGTAGATATTTTTACCAAGGTACTTGTGAGATAGAGAAATTTTTGTGAATAACTATTAATATAAGGAGGCATTTTGAAAATATAATTGGATTTTTTAGTTAAGCATATCAAAATTTCTATTATTATAAATTTTAATTATAAGTGTTAGTGGTTTGTTAAAAAAGTTTTTTTACGTGCAATTTTGTCGTTGTAGGAAGATGAGTATATATAGTTTTAGAAATTGTATGTCAAATAGTTTGATTACATAAAATAATTCAAAATGAAAAGTTCAAGGAAAAATAAAACTGTTAATATTGTCATTATTTAGTAAGGAGTAACATATTATGATAACCATATAAAAATAATATTGTATTTTTTTTTATTGCAGAAGTCAATAATAAGAAGTTGAATATTAAGTATTGACATACTTACTAAGGTTTTGAAATTAAAAATATATAGATGTTCGATAAATTCTATTAGAATGGTTATTGTAAATATAACTTTGAATTAACATGAGTAATAGGAATAATTTAAATTTTGATAATATATTAAAAAATTAAAATGAATTGGTCAATAGAAATCAATTTTACTATAAATTATAGATTAAACAAGTCTTTCTATTTTATTTTTCTATAATTTTTATGTTTTATAAATAAGTTTTTCATTTTTAATCTATATACAATTAAGTACATTTATGTCATTCTTAATAGTAATTTGTCTTATTTTAATTAGAGGTATACGTTTTATTAATATATCAACTTAAAATTTTCAAAATATATATAAATTTTATTTTTATTTTAGAATATTTTTTGAAAAATTTATTTATGTTCTTATTGAATTATTATATTAATCTATAAAAAAGTTATATCCAGAAAAATTCTCTTCCATCCTTGTTATTATATTATTTCTTTATCACGTGTCACTCGTTCTCACCGTTCTCCCAACACTCTTTCTTATAAAATAAATAATAGTCTCATTATCATCGAAACTAAGCACAATTTTTATCTTAACTTTTAACTAAATAAAATGTTTTTATCATGTGTTGTCAGAATATATTCTCTAACTTTGTATTAATTTTATAAAAGGTATTTTAATAAAGAAAATTTGAGAAGTATAAATATAAAGAAAATTTGCAGCATGTAAATATATAAAAAAAGTGTGGAAATAACAATGTATAAGTTATTAGAAGATACATACAAACTTTAAATTAAGATAATAGTTTTTATAATAGACTAAAAATTAATCATGTATTATTCCCCTGATATAAAAAAATGTAATACAATAAAAAAAAACTATTTCTTGATAGAAGAAAGTCATTATGTCTTTTTTTTTTACTTTTTTTATATTTTTTATAAAATATTTAAAAAAACATTTTTTGTTTTATAAAAAAATCCAAGTAGATAGCTAAAATAAAAATAACTGTTTAACAAGAAAAAAGATAAAAATGTTAAAATTATAAAAAAATTAGACATTAAGCAAAAGAAGGTTGAACAAAGGTTCAAGAACAAACCCTACAAATGTGCAATTTTGATACAAGATAAAGAATCAAACTATGAATTTGTGATGTTTATGACAATCACAAGAAGTGAATCCTCCAATGATATTTGATAGAACCTAGATTCTAGTTATTTCATTGATATGACTAAAAAGTTTCTTAGTTTGGATAACTCATCAAAGTGAAAAATATGATTTACATATGATAGTAATTTCCCTATTAAAAGCAAAGATGAAAGAGAATTTGTAATCGAGAAAATTTGATATGTGTGACTTGAAGACAAATTTATTAAATTAAGTAAATTACTAAGAAAATAATGATTTATAATAGACAATGAAAGATAATTGTATCATGTAACATTCTAAAAGTCTCTATCAAAAACAAAAACACAAACATGTAAACACAAAAACAAACACAAATACAAAACAAAACAAAAAGACAAACACAATAGGATGATAGTGGAAGTGTAACACATTAATAAATTATTGGTAGAATAGGATAATACCTGTAATAGGATATACACTTGCATCTACATAAGAAATATGAAAAGGATGTGTGACAGACTTACTGATGTGGACATAAAGGCCCAAGCCCATAACGAGAAGGATCAAGACCAAGATCCAATCCAAGACTTAGGTGGACCTATGACAAGAGGCAGACTCAGAAAAATACAAGAGGCATTGCAATACAAAGTGACCAATTTGCTAAAGGCCCAACTATTAAAATATCCAAACATGGAGGAGTCTAGACCTATCACATGCATAGAATGTTTGGAGAGCTAGGAGACCCAACTAAAAGATTTAGTTATTATTATTATTTTATTTGCTACAGTGGGGATTTGAACCCAAAACCCAAAGCTTATAATGCATTCACTGAACCATCTGGGTAACTTAACTTTGCTTGGGATATTAGGATTTTAATTTATCTTTATTTCCTGCAATGAGACAAACTCGTAAACTTAAGTTGTATTAAACATTTGGGAATTCATAATGAACGTACGTAATATTCAGACTCACTTTGTGAGTTGTTGCTCTGCTAGGATTCTTCTTTGCATCACTTGATCTTATCAAGAATTATTCGATTCTTGTGGCGATCCTTCTTGGCTTATCAAATATTCTTATTTGTGGCGCCTACGGTATCTTTTATGTTTTTCTGTTTTCTATTTCCAATCAAATCAATTCTTAAAACCTAACCCTAAATTGTTTCCCTTCTATTCGAGTGTCGTCACTTACCTTCAGCACACACATGTTTGCATCATGAGTGCTGCTAGAAAGAAAACACAATGAAAAACAAACACAAACACAAAGACAATTACCAACACAAACACAAACAACACACGAATACAAACACACACAAACAAGCAAACACAAACATAAACACAAAACCAAACCAAAACACAAACACAAACATGAAAAAACACAAAAACATAAATAGAGAGACAAATACAAACACAAACAAAAACACAACACACGGAAACATAAAGACAAACACATAAACAAAAAAAAAACCAAAAAGACAAACAAAAAACACATACACAAATACACACACAAACACAAAACAAACAAACAAAAACATGAAGCCAAAGACAAAACATGCAAACAAAAACACAACACACGCAAACACAAACACGTGCACAAACACAAACACAAACTCGTGCACAAACAAAACCACAAAAAACATATACACATACACAAACACAAATAAAAACACGAAGACAAACACACATAAACAAGCAAAGAAAAACACAAACACAAAGACAAAGACAAACGCACAAAAAAAAACACACAAACAGAAACAAAAACACAAACATAAATACAAACACAAAAATAAAAACTAACACAAACACAAACACAAAGAAAAAAACAAACACAAATACACAAAAACACGCAAAAAGAAACAAAAACAAAAAAAACATAACAGAAACACAAACACAAATACAAATAAGAAACTTAAACACAAATATAAAAACCAATACAAACAAAAACATAAAACAAACAGAAACACAAAAACAAACATAAACATAAATACAAATACAATAGGATGATAGTGGAACTGTAAACACATTAATCAGTATTGGTGAAATTGGATCATACCTGCAATAGGATGTACACTTGCACCTGCATAAGAAATATGAAAAGGAAGTGTGGCAGACTTACCTTCAGCACATATAACACACACATGTTTGCATCATGAATGTTGCAAGAAAGAGAACTCAAGTAGAAACATAATCAAAACATCTAAAGAAATGGAGAAGAAATAGATGTGAAACAGAAACACAAATTAAAATACAAACACAAACACGCACAAAGACAAACACACAAACAAGCAAACACTAACACAAACACAAACACCAACACAATTAAAAACACAAACACACAAACACAAATACAAACACAAAAAAAAAAACACAAAAACAAAAACAAACAAAAACACAAAAACAAAAAAAAAAACATAAACACAAAGACAAACATAATAAGATGATAGTGGAAGTGTAACACATTAATAAATTATTGGTAGAATAGGATCATACCTATAATAGGATGTACACTTGCACCTGCATAAGAA